TAGCCAGGATGGTCTCGATCTCCTGACCTCGTGATCCGCCCGTCTCGGCCTCCCAAAGTGCTGGGATTACAAGCGTGAGCCACCACGCCCGGCCCTATTATTGTTTTCAAAGAGCTAGAGACATACTTTTAGCTTTGTCTTAATTAGCCTCTTGAAGTTCTGTCTACTTAAAAATATTTTTAAAATTTTGAAATAATTTTAGACTTATATAAGAGTTGTAAAAGTAGTAGCATTCCCAAATAGCCTTTATCTGGCTTTGCCTAATGTTAACCTCTTATATAACCATGGTGCAATTACTGAAACCAGGAAGTTAACATTGAAATAATACTATTAATGAGTCTATTTGTTCCAATTTTGTCAAGTTTTTTTTTTTCATGAATGTCCTTTTTTGGTCTGTGATAACAAATCCAGTTGTCATATATTCTTAGTCTTCTCCAATCTGTTACATTTTCTTTTCTTTTCTTTTTTTTTTTTTTTTTAAGACAGAGTCTCACTCTGTCGTCCAGGCTGGATGACACTATCTTGGCAGTGGCACTATCTTGCTCACTGCAACCTCCACCTCCTGGGTTCAAGCAATCCTCCCACCTCAGCCTCCCAAGTAGCTGGGATTATAAGTGTGTGCCACAATACCTGGCTGATTTTTGTATTTTTAGTAGAGACAGGGTTTCACCATTTGCTGAACAGGCTGGTCTCAAACTCCTGACCTCAAGTGATCCACCCCTCTGGGCCTCCCAAAGTGCTGGGAATATAGGCATGAGCCACTGTGCCTGGTCACATTTTCTTATTCTTTTTCTTCTCAAGATTTAGACACTTTTGAAGAGTACTAGTCAGTTATTTGTAGAATGTTTCTCAATTTGAGTTTGTGTAATATTTTCTTTTCTTTTTTCTTTATTTTATTTTATTATTTATTTATTTTTTTGAGACAGTGTCTTGCGCTGTCACCCATGCTAGAATGCAGTGGTGTGATCTCAGCTCACTGCAACCTCTGCCTCCTGTTCAAGTGATTCTCTTCCTTCAGGCTCGTGTGTAACTGGAATTAGAGGTGCCCACCACCACACCCAGCTAATTTTTGTATTTTTAGTAGAGAAGGGGTTTTGCCATGTTGGCCAGGCTGGTCTCGAACTCCTGACCCAGGTGATCCGCCCGCTTCAGCCTCTCAAAATGCTGGGATTATAGGTGTGAGCTACCACGCCTGACCTTTCTAATATTTTCTTATAATGAGATTGAGGTTATGCATTTTTGGCAAAAATGATGTTATTCCCTTCTCAGTGCATCATATCAGGGGATATATAATGCTAGTAAGGGCTGGAATTACAGGCATGAGCCATCACCCTCGGACTTGTTTCTGTGATTTTGACTACTTTAGAATACTTCATGTGAGTGGACTCATACAGTGTTTGTTCTTTTATAACTGGCATATGCTTATTTCACTTAGCATAATGTCCTCAAGGTTCATCTATGTTGTAGCACATGACAGGATTTCCTTCTTTTTTTAAGGCTGTGTACTCTTCTATTTTATATATATACATTTTCTTTATCCATTTGGATCAACGGAGATTTGGGTTCCTTCTGTCTCTTGGCTATTGTGAATAATGCTGCAGTGAACGTGAGTGTGCAAATATCTTAGAGATCCTGCTTTGAATTCTTTTGGATATATACCCAGAATTAGGATTGATGGATTATATGATAATTACATTGATGGTTCTTAACTGCAGTAATCATTATTGTGGTGTTTGTCTAATGACTTTTTATTTCCCTCATTCCTATGTTTATTAACTAGAATTCTATTGTAAGAAAGAGCTGTCACTTCTTCCCCATTTATTTATTTATTCAATTATTTATTTATACCAGTACGAGCTCATGGATGTTTATTTTCTTCTAAGTTATAATTCATTTTCTTCTTTTTTTTTTTTTGAGAGGGAGTCTCGCTCTGTTGCCAAGGCTGAAGTGCAGTGGCAAGATCTTGGCTGACTGCAACCTCTCGGCCCAGGGTTGCAAGCAATTATCCTCCCTCAGCTCCGAATAGTTTGGATTAACGGGTCAAGCTACCACCGTCCAGCTAATTTCTTCGTATTTTTGTAAGAGACGCGGGTTTCCTATGTTACAGGATGGTCCTCCTCTCTGACCTTGTGATCCCATCTGCCTCAGTCCCCAGCTGCTGGGATTACAGGTCTGTGAGCCACTGCTTCTGGCTTATAATCTCACCATTTTCCAGTTCAGTTTATTTTGTTCGATTAGACTTGTCTCAGTTTGGGCTATTGGAGAAACACCTTTTTTTTTTTGTTTGTCTTGTTTGTTTTTTAGTGTTAAGTTCCTAGGGTCTACCATAGCTGCATAAAGCTGCAGGTTTGTTTAACATACTACATACTTGTGCATGTTGGGTGCGTGGCCTG